TCGTCGCCTTCTCCGGTTTTACACTTTGACTTAGAAGTATGCTCATTTTAACTGATGGGTGCTCATTTGATTTGTCGGCTGTTTTGGATTGTGATTTTTTCTCAAAGCTCGATTAGTGAAACTTAATCAATGCTTAAGTTATTAGTTCATGTCGTTTCGTGAGCAATGAGATTCTATTCCTATAAAAAGATTTGGAAGAAAACTGATAGAGACAACGACAAATCAAAGATTAAAGTTCAAGGGTTTATGTTGTTTCAGTAAAAAAATTGTTCTTTACTTGATAGAAAGTCTTAGAATTGATTCAGATAGTGGAAAGCAGACAACTTTTGCTTGTATGGATGGTATCAAGTTTTGTTCTTTGGTCTTTTGATTTTAGTAGATAATTTTAGTCTTCTCTTTGGTGATTATTTTGGCTTTCCTCGTTGTGCAGGACAAGGATTTGTGTCCATGGCAGCACTGCAAATGTCTCGTGAATGGCTCGGTATCCAGCAGTTTCCACCTGCTACTCAATCTAAATTGCTCGAGATCCTTGGGAAGTATAAAGAAGAGGTTTTGTTCTTGTTCTCTCTGCTTGTTTCCTGTTTCATTTACCTCTGGTTTTAGTTTCTAATGTGGAGAACAAAAATGGTGTAGGATGTGAGCTCGTTAACAGTAGTTGTAATGGGAAAAGGTGGTGTTGGAAAGTCATCGACTGTGAATTCAGTTATGAATGAGAAAGCTGCTGCAGTTAGTACTTTCCAGGTGCCTAGTTTAACGCTCCTCTTGTTGCTTTCATGATTTTTGATTAAATTTCCTGTATAGTTTCTTATGTAAAGTGTGTTGGTTTCCCTCTTTATAGTCTGAAGGACTGAGGCCATCTTTGGTCTCTCGCTCAAGGTCGGGGTTTACATTGAATATCATCGACACTCCTGGTCTTATTGAGGGAGGATATGTGAATGATCAAGCCATCAACCTTATAAAAGGGTATGTTGAACTGTTTCCAGTTCTAAGATTTGGGGTTCATCTGTTTCATGTGTGGTAATTTGGATTGGTGGGATTTGAATTTGAACAGATTTCTCCTCAACAAGACGATAGATGTGCTACTCTATGTAGACCGTTTGGATGTATACCGAGTGGATGACTTAGATAGGCAAGTTGTCAATGCGATAACCGATGCATTTGGTAAAGAGATATGGAAGAAGTCTGCTCTTGTCCTCACCCATGCTCAGTTCTCTCCACCGGACGGATTAAATTATGATCTCTTTGTCTCCAGAAGATCTGATGCTCTTCTGAAAGTTATCCGTGCAGGCGCTCAACTGAAGAAACATGAAATTCAGGTATTGTGGGTTCCTCTTTTTTGTATATTACAACCGCACAATCTCTGTAACTACTTTCGTAATGATGGGGTTAATAGATTCCATTAACCTCTGAATTTTTTTTGTTGTAGGCTTCATCTATTCCCGTCATTCTTGTTGAGAACAGTGGAAGATGTCATAAGAATGATAATGATGAAAAGGTCAGTTGATTGGTTTTGTGCTCCATATTAGCGAATTACTGCATCTAGTAGTTGCGCCAATCTTGTGTTCTGATCTTCCAAACCTGTGATAGATTCTTCCCGACGGAACTGCTTGGATTCCCAGTCTGGTCAACACACTCACAGAGATATCCTTTAATGGCAACAAGTCGATTCACGTTGACAAGAAACTGGTCGATGGACCAAACCCAAACGAAAGAGGAAAACGACTAATCCCTTTAATCTTTGCATTCCAAGTAAGCCTCTAAATCATTCAGCTGAAGTTGCTATCATTTTTTTCAAAACCAAGAAGAGCGAATCTTGTATATTGTTTCATGATTCATCATCTTTTTGATGGTTTTGCATTTGCAGTACCTGTTAGTGATGAAGCCACTGGTTCGAGCAATCAAGTCAGATGTTGGAAGAGAGAGTAAACCGGCATGGGAGGTGCGAGACTCCGGTTCAGCAAATCGAAGGTCTTAACTCGGGTTTTTGTTTGGTTTTGTTTGTTTATCTGAGAGACTTTCTGTAGTTAAAATTGTGATAACCAAGAGCAATGTGGTTCACAGATTTTACTTTTTGTTTTGAAACCTCGTAATTATACTCTTGAATCTTGATGATTAGAAGCGGTAATCACGTAATTAAGACCGAGATAATCACGTTTATGGTAATGTAACCGTAGCGGTTATCTTTAACGCTATTCGATATTTTTTTTTTGTTAAAATTAATTGAAAAAAGTAAATTTGGAAAAAGAAAAAGAAAACGACGCGAAAAGGAATTGGGCAAAACGGAGAAGACGATTCGGAGTTTTTGTGAAATTGAGAATTTGGAGAGACATTGTTGCTCTTCCTCAATCTCAATCAAGTTTTGCGAATCTTCTTCAACCTCTCTGTAGTGAAATTAGGGTTTTTGATTTCGAAAACATTTGATTTTTTTTCAAGGATTTGTGTAGTCAAACCCAGATCAAATGTCGGCATCAACGATGTCGATCACCGCGACTCCATCCGCGGCGACTAGGCGAACGGCGGTTCTTGCCGGAGAGAAGAAATCAAACTTTGATTACCCACCAAGCGAATCACTCGCGAACGGTGGCGTAGGTGAAGCCGGTGGTACGAGCAAGGATCTGATCCGTGGCGAGGCTGTCGTTGATCGATCTAACGGCCAAGACTTAGGCCCTGTGTCGAGGAGGTCTGGTTCCGCCGCGACTGGGACCAATACAACCGCCACGCAGCGCCGGACTCGGAAGGTTACGACTCCTAAGGCCGAGAAAGCGCCATGGAAGAGAGTGGTGAGGATATTCGCTAAGCAGCTTGCGGCTCTTCTTATCATTGTTGGGTTAATTCAGGTTACGAGGAAAGTGATTCTCAAAGTTTCGCCTCCG